CACGCATGACATTGATCGCCACCCAGTGATCAATCAATTGTAATTACATCTCAGTCCTACAGGAGGTCAGTCGTGGCTCGGATAGCTCAGTGGCAACGTCTCTGACTGTGAAGCTGGGTGACACGAGATCAAGTCAGACAGGGAGCACCAGTTCCCTCAAGATCCCGTGTCACCCAGCTTCACAGTCAGAGACGTTACCACAGAGCTATCCGGGCCGTGACCGACCTCCCGTAGGAATGAGTTTAAATCACTAGGTGGTGATCAATGTAGTGTATGTCAAGTCCTTCTTAGTGCAGATCACATGCCGTCGACCAAGGGTGATCATATTTTAGTACCACCAATGGAAGTTTGAAGCATTGATATCAGACGCTTACAAGTTATTCATCTTGGTCTGTTTTTTTAATGATTACAGTCCAAAGGCAATATCGGGGGCTCTTTTGAAAAACTCACACTAATCGCCACCCTTAATTGATCCCAGATTGAAAGCTATAACTCAAAGATAATCACCGTGAAAATGTCCACATACTCTCAAATCACAGCCCGGGAGTTAGTAATACCCGACATATCTTTATTTCAGGACGACGGAAAAAAGTGGGATGGGAGGTGTAACAGCCCTGTACCTATGATCTCGCTCAATAGCATATCAAGCGTGGAACCCTGATGAATCTGCATGACGATCACCGAGATTGTCTAACACCTCAAGATGTCTAGCTGGCATCATCTGAACTATGTCTATCGCTAACGCTAGGTATGATGATAGTAGTTTGGAAGGGTCATTCCACTCTTTTATTCTCGAGTACACTCAAATCCTGGTTTTTAAGGACTTTAGTTTTTCTAACATCAACGGATACGATTAAGGTGGTAACTGTGCTGAAACTTGTTTAATCAACCTTATTGGAGAGTTGAAATTGTTCGGAAATGTGTGGTAACTTGTTGGAGAAACAGTCGGACTTCGTCACGTTTGGCCTGCATCATCGTAAGCGAAGAATCCCTCGTTGAAAACCTCTTGATACTGCGTTTACTGGTAAAATGTGACCAAGCCGTCATATCCTGCAAGTCTATAGGCGTAGAACATTTTACTAACAATAACCATCGAAAATTCAAATGTTTGGACGAGTAAGCACAATCTACTGAATGTGGATTGGGAAGTGTGCCTCCAGTTGGATGTGGAAGCACGCTAAGGTTTCTTAATACACAAAATATTGTGTGCCACAAACCACTCCACTCCCCAAACGGTTCCTGAAAGTTAAGAGCAACGTACAGACATAAAGGACCGCATTTTTCGGAAGGTATCGTTTGGGGGAATGCACATGAACTCGTTACAGTAGGACATGGACATTTCAAACAAGCAAGGAGCCAGTGCAAAAAGGCAAGAAACGAAAGAAAGACCCAATATCATATCGTACTAATTGGCTAATTTGTCTCTAGTTTAAGAACCCTAAACTGGAGTTTCCTAGTTGTTATATACTAATGGTCCAACCAAGAGCGACAGCGATGCCTTAGTGCTCCTGGAAGAATAGTGCTTTCATATGTTTAGACTGCCACATACAGACTGCATCGAAAAGAGCTTCAAATGCATTTTAAAAGGAACCTGACAGCCAGATTTGTGTATCATTAACTGCAGCATCTAAACAAGGACAATGCTCCTGGCTTGCATGTGATAAAGTCTGAGAGAAGATACTTTTATCATGGCAATACCGCCTGGCGTTATGTTTTTACAATCCCTTATTCGAGTCACAGTCCCAGACGACTGGAAGCTGAAGCACATCTTAACAATCTTAAAAGGACCTTCGAGCAACTGGTAAGAAACATCTCACTCAATACGTTTGAAAGTTCTGAAGTCTTTGACAAACGACAGTCTACGTCTTCATATCTCAACTACGGGGCTTCGGGAAGGGTCACTCCTCGATAATCAACTTCTGACCTCAGTGGACTGACGGACAACCACCCATGATCGCAAGGGGAAGGTTGATGTCATATACTTTGACTTCTCAAAAGCGTTCTATGGAGTGGATCAACAAGCTCAAACTGTTAGGTTTCTAGTCACGTAATAGTATGGTTGACTTTGAATCTAAGTAATCAACTTTTCACGGTCCGAATAAAATTTACTTATTCTCGGACCACACGAGGTTCTAATGAGAACCGCCAAAACTCGGTACTAAAGACTTTTTTTACCTTTGATTTTTATGAAGATGACCATTCTGAGCAAGTATATTCTGATTTACAGATTTCGCGGATGGTGTTAAACTTTGGAGGGAAGTTTGCTCCACGATGACAAGCTAGTACTTCAAGAGTACCTGACCTCATGTCAAAGGATAAAGTGGTCAACCTAAAATATGTTGTGGACTATATACACAAATTAGGTAATTTCCCTCTGGAGGTATAACAAGTTGAAAATGACTTAGGAGTGATGACATCACGTAATGTGAAACCTTACGCTATGCGACAAAAATGATTTTTAAAGAAAACCTTGCATTGGTAATGTTAAAGCATATTTTGAACAGTTTATGTCAGAACATTACATTTAATATCTAAAAGCTTTATTCCATCCAATTTACAGTACAGAATAAAGTATTTCCTTACTCACTCCAAAAGAATGAGAGTATACTAGAGCACAGGCGAGCCATGAAATCAATTTCGGGTCTCAAATTCAAACCCTATGGCAAGGGCCTCGAATCACTTCATCTTCGTTAATAAGAGTATAGAGGTCTCAGAGGTGACCTGATGACTCGGTGTGAAAACATGTGTGCTGCTAGTATTTTGTTAGCCATTGGTTCTTCCGCTAGCCTGCTGTGTATTTAGAGTTGCCCTGATGTGGCAGCAAGAAAAAGAGAGCATACATCGGGTATTCACATATCAAGCTCAGATCACCTCTTAGTCCGCGATCAGTCAGTCAGTCATTCAGTCAGAGATAGGACATCGTAAGGAGGTCTAGCTACTCAAGCCGCCAATTTGTATGGTAAACCCCAGATTTCTGGAATTGCACGGAAAGCTTCCCTCTGTACATTTTCTGGGATATCCAAGACACCATTTAAACAGGAGCTTGCAGCCTGAGAGCGGTTGTCGAGTTCCGATCTCACTGAGGTTGTGTATACAGTGGTGAATATACTAGTATCTAACTTTGTAAGTGTCCGACTTAAAGCCCATAGGGCTCCACACCTCTTAGTTGCAACCTCATGACAATGGGCTGTGGTCTTAACACCATGACTCAGTGCCACCCCAAGACTCTTGGGAGACCAGACCACGGGTATAGGCGCTTCTCCTATGCTGTACCTATCTACCTTTGTATCCCCGAAGTGCGTGTGGACATATTTGGCCACTTTTTAGACCAGCTGATCAGAACATGTAAGTCCACCTGAAGTGTGCATGCATCTGCGACTCTTGTTGTTCCAAGTTGGATTTTTATATCATTAGTGTGTAGTAGTATTGGGGGCTCAACTGTACTAAGGAGATCATTTACATACAGTATAAAAAGTGAAGGACATAGGACAGAACCTTGAGGTACTAGACTATTATATTGTACCACATAGCTCCTTATAGTAAGGAAAAACGACAAGATACTTCCGAATATGTCAAGCTGTCATAGGAGTGTTTATCAATGACAAACTAGTTGGGTTTGGACTTCAGGTTGGCAACGCTTTAGGGTCATTACTACTCCATCAGTTGGGGAGTGATCTGTAGCGGTAAATAAATCTCCCAAATAAATAGCTCTGTAAGTCTTCTTGACATTTGATGCTGACCACATTAGTTTTAATTGACTCGCCTAGCTGAAGGCGCTTGTTCATGCATCCGCACCAAATCAAGAGTGGGGACGCCGTGCTCAACATCCCATGCAGTCGCCAGCCGGTTTAGATCAGCCATTTCTCGATATATTGATAACCTATCAAATATATCTTCGGACCTTCTCGCTTCTGTCTTTTGATTTAACTTGGTGGGTACGATTTCCGGCTTTAATAGTAATATATTTTTCGGCACTATAAAAGATACTTTGCTGATGTCTATGTAGACAATATCCACTGATTTCGAGTGCGGTTTATCCGATCCTGTTGATTTTCCGTTTCTAAAGTGGTAAGGGCTGTCAGTAAAATCGTCTTGATTGAAGTCCACTGTGAGCAGCCGGTTATGTGACTTTGTATTTGGGTCTAGTTCTTCGTCTAGAAAAAGGTCCGTAGTGAAAGCTGCCCCAAAATTGTTCGCCATAGCCTCTGCTTTGTCCTGATCATCCTCTATCATTTAAGGTGTACTCCCCTCAATATTTATGTAGGGAATACAATGATGCGTGCATGTTCTGTAATTTATGTACGAGAACAGTACCTTCGGCTGCTTCATTACAGATTATGCTTAATGCTTTTCATATTTTTGTCCTGCTGTCTTCATTGTGATAATAGACTTGTTTCGGATCGACCTGTGGCGTCCCATCGTATTTGTTATTCCAAGACTGATGGTGAAGTCCCAATGTTTCTTTTGTCTTAGTAAGTGTCAAATATCTCTGTCTATCCAAGGATAGCCGTATTTCTTGTTTGGGACTGTCCAGGGTATAAATGGTTGAGACACTTGATTGTATAAATGCCTGAAATGAGTCGATGCCTCTTCTGCTGATGTTGCTGAGTCGATTTTCCAGTGAACAGGCGAGGCTGCAAAGTTTACCGCCTTCATGTCTGCCTTCCATATGTTAGGACGTGGCGTCGCAACTGCTTCACAGGTAATCTCAGCCATGGACTTGGATAAGATGATCACATGCTCACTTTTCCACAAAGGTGTGGGAGGAGGTCACTTGGCTGACATCATCCCCGTATATGAAGAATAAGTCCAAGAGGGACGAAGAGTTTTGTAGGTCGTATCTGGTGGGGTCTCCAATGTGCCGGAACAAAGCCAGGGTGAGTATGGTTTCTAACAATTTGTAATCAAACTATGCATTTGATGACTCAGAACTAATAAATCAAATTTATTCGATCAGGTCAGACTACGTTCTTCGTTATAGCGCACGAAGCGTTTTTGGGTGACACGAACTGCGTCCAATCTAAACAGTTCCAATTTGAAAAAGATGCAGAAATTCGTTAAGCGGGAGCTTCTGCTTTTCTGTACACGACAACATAAACTGTGTAGACCGCGTTTCTCAATGTAAACGTTGCACTTAGGCGTGGTGTATCCTCGCTTTGTTCCACATTTTGTGTACATTATAATAACATGTTTCGAAAAAAATTTTGAGTCCCAAATCAAAAGATCCTTAATCAAATCAAGGGAAGTGATTGTGAGTGTTGTAACCACTGTTAGGTTACCACCTCACGTAATGGGGTTAAAACTGCTTTAAGTAGTATATTAGTTTGTGGCTTCCGTTTTTGTGGAATCCAAAGAGTATGATGTCTAAATCCTACTTTACAATACTTAAACGTAAGTTACTACAAAACCGTACAACGTTAGCCGTGAAATTAAAAGTGTAGTTGAAATACCAAACTAAATTTTTATTTTCCTATTAATCCTCCTTGGTTAGGTGTGTAATAGATGTGTAGTATCTGGAAGTTTACCCCTGGGCTCACTTAGGGTTTAGGAGTATTTAGCATTCTGGTTTAAGCAAACCATTCGTACTCCTGAGGTAATTTTAATTACATTTCCAAGTCTCCTGTCAAAACTCACACAATTGGTGGCGAATCAGCAGTTGCTAACATACCCGCCACTTATCATTCCACCGCACTGAATTATATCCTGCCTTTGTCGCTTCTGCTTAATATCTTGTGTGATAAAGCTAAAACATCTCTGAAACAGTGATGATCAATCCGAGATCACATCACATTTACCAAAATACCATAAGTAATTTAGTTCAGAAGTAAAGATTGCGACTTTCATCGTGAACTGAGATGTTGATCTTCATATCCTTAGTTCTAGTCATAAAGAAATAAATAACTCAACAGTCGTTTCTGTCTCCTTATTGCCTAAGTGGTTAGGATATCAGGGTTGTTCAGCGGTATACTTAGACCATACAGAGCGCTTTCCAATAGCTCATTTAAAATTGACGACGAACTACGTACTCGTTTAACTGATAGTTCCCACTGTTGAAACCTAATAAGTGACTAAGTGTTTTTCAACTCATTATGGGTTCTAACCCTAACCGAGTCATAAATCTGTATAAACGCTAATTGATGGCGTAAGTTTACTGCGTAGGTGGTCAATTTCCCTTAGTGATGGCTCAAAATGCATCACAACAATGCAGACGGGTCGGATGAATCTGCAACATTAAATTATTTATTTTGGATTCACCATTCCCTTTATCTATCCTCGTTTTTGTCTTTTTGTATAGTGTATATATTTGTCCTTTTTCTTTTTTCAGAATGAATAAAAATGGAGAGTACCATTTGGTCATTTTGTGTCCCGATTTATCCCATTAATTTCAGTCAGTTGACCCGTTCTTTACTTCAATATGTTAGTTCGTCTGTTAACAAGTTCATCCCTGACCTAAAAGGTATCCTTGTGGATTTTGACGCAAAAAGTTTACAAATCATAACTGAAGTTGATTATTCTGATCGTTATGTCCCTACTGGTTTCACTTGTGGTCTTTTCCTGATTCATCCAGAGTTAAACCATCTTCGTGTACACGGGAAGATAAAGGTCAATATTTTTCGTCCATATTTAGGTTTGGAAGTAGATGCGATTGTTTCAGTGGTTAGACCACAATTTATTCTTTGCCGTACAGAAATTTCCAATGTAATGATTAGTCTTCCACGTTTATCTTCGGAGTCAGTAAAAAAAGAAGAATTCAGCCAGTCCATTTTAAAACCTTTTGACAAAATAAGAGTTAAATTGACTCAAATTGATAACAATTTTGGCTCTCCAATTTTACAAGGTGACTTTATGGAGTGTCTTTCGAAACCCTTATCAAAATCTTCCGAGAAACAGCATAAACACCAAACAAATTCTGCTGGCACTGATATGAGTGATATAAAACCAGTAATAAAAGTCTCTGATGATACTGATAGTTATCAGACTACTTCGTCATTTCATGAAAATTCTTCTGATCCAGTCACTTTTCCGACTAATTCACCTAACCATAAAACACCAAAAGTTAGGAAACCAAAGATTCGGAAACTTGAAGAATCATTACAAGAAGTTGGAGTCCTCGATAATTGTAGTGCAAGTCTATTAACTCATGATGAGTCGCCAGCTGGTTCAGTGAAGAGATTACGAAAGGAGAACTCATCCACTTCCAAAGTATTAAAAAAGAAAGGTAATTCAGATTCAGAAGAGATTATCCCTGCTTTATTAAATGATGCACTGTTAAAATGTGGTAGAAAATATAGGTCAAACCATAATCTGTTATCTTCTGTAACTGTAAAAGAGGAACCAACTTGATCCAATAAATGTGCTGTAAACGCATATATACTTATTACTTTCCATATTTTTCATTTATAATGTATAAATAAATGATTATGTTTGGAGTTTTGTTAAGTTCCTAGATTAATCTTTAAAATTATTATGTACAACAGTTTCATTGACGATGAAGCATTTCAGTATTCTAGTGTTTGGTAAATTCCTGCCACTTTCTAATATATACAGATAAACGTGCTTCTGATTACCACAGTTTGTATGATGTCCTTCCGATAAATGGAAGCCGAATGGTCATCGAAAACGTTTTAGAATCCCTTTTCTATTGTACCGCTACCTTTCTCTAAAGGTTTATCACTAAGTATGGTCTGTGATCAATATTCATAATAACTATCTAGGATGCTTAAATAACTACCAATCATAGTCTTATGTCAGTGCATTCTCTATAGGTTCAAGGTAGATACATTCTCTATAGGTTTCTCTTTTCTAGTCATCTTGAACTTTCAGTTTGTGTGCAAATTTTTGTCTGATATATTTAGTTTTCAAACATAGTACCAAAGAATTTTCGAAAACCAAGTAGTTTCGGCGAAGTTGGTTGTATTTACCGACACTGAATAGCTCATGATTCTGGGCTTGGTCAGTATCAATAATAGTGTCATTCCGTAATAAGTGTTCGGTCAGTTTTCTGTGAATATAATCTCTTAAATTTTAACGTCAATAAAAACGCGTATGAACTTTTTAGTTTTATTTTTCTTGGATTAATTCGGGCGTAGTTGTATGCTTGATGAAACCAAGATTTCAGGTAAATGCTCCGAGGAGAGTATTAGTTTTCAAGAGATATCTTTGAAAATCTAACGGAAATATAGTCACGTCTATAATCTAAAAAAGTTAGTCTTACTACTTTTGAATATCAGCAGCAGTCTATTCAACTTGAAAAATGCGTCTTTTTGTTACCTCCAGATCAAAGTGTTTTGTTTTATATTTAAATTTCGTAGTGGCTGAAAATAGGTTACGTTTGAAGAACTAGATAAAAGTGAATTCGATTATCTATCCACTTACCTTGCTTGGCAGAATGACCATCTAAATGTGACTTTCCCCACCCCTGTTTGCTGATTGTAGTCTTTTACCTTGAAGTGTTCTTAACTTTTAGAAAAATACTAGGTAGATTCCCCAAAACTTATTGTTCACATTGGTCGAACCCAGATTTATGGACACCCAGATGATAACTACGGACGAACCGAGTTATGTTTTGGTTCTTTTATGGCATTTACGTATATGACGTACCAATCTCCTAATTGCAGCTCACATTGGATTGTCGGAGTTTCTTACATAATGCTAGTGAGAAATGGTCTATATCATACAGAAGCCTTTGAGAAGAACATATTAAGAGTATGAGCGGTAATAAGAGGCTGTATTAATATAGTTGTTGCGATTGCTGAACAGATATATCATGTATCATTTTGAATTGATCCATTCACAGGTGTTACAAAATTCAAACATATAAACAGTTAGTAGTAGAGTATGTACTCACGTATCCGTTGATTTAAATATCCGGTTAGTTGACAACTTCAAAGAGATTAGTGAGTTGGTTAGGTCCTCAAAACTAACTTTGACTATCTCACAGAGTCCCAAACTGCTCCTTAATTGTATTCTTACGAAATTTTCAGTTTACTGATTAGAATACAGTAAAATGATTTATTGTAAAATGTACTTGAGACTGCTAGGGAATTGAAAATATGCCTGCTTTAAGCCAGGTTACTGCGAATTGTTTGAACAATTTAATCTTTTCATCCATCAAAACTTGGTACTCAGTACCTTTCTGATAAGCAACTTTAGGATCAAAGCAATAAGCCCATTTGTAGCATTATTTTTGAACAATAATAATTTACGCTGTTGAGGACAGATTTATTTGGCGAATTTAGAATGAGATTGCTAGCATGATTTATAAACGGAACTAGGTTCCAATTGCATTCTGTAAGTTAACCCTTGAACAACTTGTGAGACATTGTTCGTTAAGCGAAAAGAGATGACAAATCATGCATGGATTTGTGATTTTATAGTCTCTAGATTTGATTTTCGATCGTTGAGTCGTGTGTATTTATTCTTATTCTTATGTAGTGAATTTTCGTAATTAACCGATTACAAAATCCCTAGATCTAACCTTACATCTGTTGAGCTTCCAACTACACTGTTTTGAAGAAAACACTTAAACTGACTAATCACCATTTATTTGGCACTGATTTTATTATTAACTGTAACGATTAAATATTAATGTAGAGCCTTGATGAGAAACTAGTCGAAAAAGACACTTCGCTTAACTTGCGTTTTTAATGTTTCTTCACAAACGAATCAACAAACATATATGATAGCATAGCTGAGAGTGAATTTGGTTCAGTGTCATTAGCCGATTTGCTACAGTGAAGACCAAATCCAAAAACAGCTTTATTTTGTCTTGATCAAAACGACATATTTTGTAAGAGAAACTTTCTATTTATTTATCTATCAGATTAAATATATTTTTTCTTAGTTTAACAGTGTAGTATTATACAACTCTTTCTGTAATCTTAAGGTTCATATCATATGTTTCACTGTATGTTAACCAACGTATTCAAGCATCGAAGTTGAGATAGGTTTTCTAAAGTGATAGGTTATTCAAATTGATAAAAACGACGAAAGCTCGTTCTATTGATGGATTTTATCAAGTGCGTGGAAACTTAGTCATGTTACTGCCTAATAATTGCTCCTTGGTATTCATATGAATAGCGTACTGGCAATCTCTATCAACTATGTTACAACTAATGCTCATGATCAGACGTACTGCCCTTTACTTGTCATATAGACTCAATAAGGTTCATTACCAGTTAGTAAGGCTAATCGCTCAACTTCCATTCTAAGGATAGTAGCATTTTATAGACACCTGAAGAGTATAAAAATCGTCAGAAAACATTATTTTATTTTTGTTCCCTGTAGTACTATTTTTTGTTTAGGAATATACATGGAAAGATATCAGTGTTTACAGTTAGTTTGTCTACAATCTTACAAAAATGACGGAAATATAACATGATATTAGGGAATGTTGCGTTTTCTTTTACAACTTCGTGAGATAAGCTGAAATAATTATCTAAATTTTCACCACCTAACAGGATGTTAATTTGTGAAATAAAGTAGCAGCAGTCAGCTAATAAACTATGGATCACCGATTCGAACTTTACTCTCTGTATTTCTGTTTAGTTGGTTATTATCAGTAGTCTCTCACATCAAGTGTAACTTTAAACTAACTACACCAAACCTGTATTTGATAAATGATTTTCATGAATAAAATGGATTTCAACTTACAATAAATGAAAATAATATATAACAATGAGAATAAAACTCCATACTGATGTTGCACTGACCACTGGTTATACTGGCATAGTTTGTTCAAATAATTTAGAAAGAGAGATTGTTATAAAACTATTCAAAAAGACAATCAAGTAATCATAGATAATCGCCTAAATTGAATTTTAGTTAAAAGTTAGATTAATGGAACTAATATGTAGTAAAAGGAAGGATTTCCTCATTCTTGGAGTAAAATGGAATAAAATCACAGGACTTATTCACGAAATTGAGCAACACATCCACCATTGTCATCAGTGAGTAACTACCTCACAAGTGACCCGGTTAAACTCCACTAGTCACTGCGCACTGCTGAGGAGTCCCACAATAGGACGAAAGGGCCGTCCAGTGCTTCCAGGTTTTCCATAGTTGCCTAGCATCAATTGACTCATGCTTTCAACTGCTGAAATTACTACAATCTCCACAAAACTCCTTCTGGTATATAAAATAATTTATTGATAGATTAGTGTAGTGATTGATTGATTTAGTGAATGTTTAAGGTTCATTAAATTACTATTTAATTAACATACATTATTCGAAGATTTGTTTTCTATATATATCCTTTAATTTTGATATAAAATTTTATTATAAGAGTATTTCGTACACAATTCTTCTTCGATTAAACCTTGCTGATATTTTTCTTTTACTAAGAGCTTTGGGAAGGAACTAATTCAATGAAGAAATGTTTTTCAATGGCATCATTTAAGACAGTGTATATTTACACATAAATATAGTTATCAGTATAGAAATAGTTTACATCTTCATCATAATAAAGGTATTTGGTTAATATGAATGATTAATCTTTAATTTTTTTTATATGCAATAATCCACTTCTCTGTAGTTAATTAGGTATGCGATTAGTTCAGATATTTATCCCTTATCTTACTAAGTTTTATCAGCATAATTGAGCATATGACAATATTGAACAGTCATGCTATTTATATTTTTATTAGTAAACTTTGAGCTATCTTGTTATTAAGATTGAGGATTGAATTTTAATCAGTCATTGTGGGCATATATCCATTCTGCGTCGATTGCCTTATCATTATAAATTTTTTTAAAATAGATGGATCAAGATTTAGTGGTTGAGTGGACAGTACATTGAGCCCCTGAAGCGAATATCTGTGTAAAAATCAACGCAGGTGCATCCAAGTAACAGGCCTACCACTAATAACAATCAGTCTATTCTATATCAATTATATTTTTTATTCTGAAATGTTCAGTAAGTTGTAAATAAATAATCCAGGATATTACATTTGACTTTGTCTACCATATCAGGTTTAATATTCCTAAAATTTTCACTTAATCCTATAAAACAATTAAGATATTTTAGCTGACGATAACTATAAGCAGAAATGGTACAGTAAATCTCTCTCTTTTCATCATTTATTTAGTTTAATGTAACTTGTTTTTTTAGAAAAGTATTTTTAATTCTATTTTATTATTGCGAAACATCATTTTCAATTTATAATTTTCAGTTATTGGTCTTATTGTGATGTGTGCTACTGATGTTGACAGATATAAGTAGTATGTCTCATCAGTCGTTAGTGAAATGCTTGAAGGTAGAAGGTTAAAATGATCAAATACAAGAAATCAACAACAAAAAATCATTATTATGGAAACAAAAGGAACAGTCAAGTTCGAGACAATTGATTGACATTTTGTAAATAAAGTATTTGTTATACGGTTCTCAGATTTTACTAAGTGATTCTGTCCCTGCTGGTGTTCTCGTTCATTA